TATATATATATAAAATAAATCCAGAAAATGCAAAAAGTGCAACAAAATATACAATTACTTTTTTCTTTTGTTACAGCACAAAACGTTACATAAACACACGACATGAGCTTAGAAACCTATAAAGAACTGCCAGTATCTACTTCACTAAAGCATTAAGGCTGACTAATGATACGTATATATTGATAATTGGAACTCAAATTTTTTTTTTTTCTAATCTCGATCTTCTTTCCTTATCGCCTTTTCATATGGCAAGAAACAGAAATTTTATCTAGATTTGGGAGATCCATGCTGTGTTCTAGAGTAAAATGTAAAAAAAGTTTAATACAAAAAATTTGGCGGTGCTATGTTAATTGAAGATAACATTATAAAGAATATAATAAAAATTTATTATTAATGACAAAGTATTTTATTAATTAAAATCAAGCAAAGTACGTGAAAATTGTAGGCTATACTTAATCATATTATATAGCAGTCAAATATGTCTTGACTGTCATAATAAAAAAAGTTATTGATGTATAGTAATATATTTTGTTATAATTTACAATATAAACATATATGAAAATAATTGCATAGACGCGCCAGATCCTTTTGCATTTTTAAAATTTTTATTTAGCGCTATTACTTTCATCAGTACACATATGATCTTACTACATCTTTAAAAATGTTATATTGAAAAAATAGATAATTTTTTAATGGATACAATCTTACTGAAAAAATTTGAAGTTAGGCTGGAGTTGATGACAATACGCATATATTATCGCCTTAGCTATGTTTCACCCTCATCATATATACTTTCATGTGCAAAAGATTAAAAAATACCGTTTTTCTTCTTTTTGTTCGAGTACTAATTTCACGGCGGGGCACGACACAATTATTTGTTATCAGCTGATCTAGTCAAATCGTTGTTTGCATGTAATATTCCTATATATATATATATGTATGTTTCTCTCTCACAAAGTTTTCTAGATAAAGCAAAAAAGTTCGAAATTATTACATGTTATAAAAAATTTATAAAAAACACGATTATTTTATCGAGCGATAAATAAATTGAAAATTTTGAATAAATAAACACACATAAGCAAACAAAAAGGGTGGTTATTTAGTAATAATTAACAAAACAAATATTTATAATTTTAATTATTATTGTCTCAAAATAATATAAAATTGAAGCAGCTATATTTCAGCGTTCCTATTTTCCAAACTATAAGCATATTTTTCTTTTAAACACAATTAAATTAAATTAAAAATATATATCAATATTGAATATTTATAAAAAAAAATTTCTTGAAATTTTTGTTTCTGAAAACTTAAAAAAGTCATGTAAATTTTATACCGTGACTGAAGCTCTGCTTGGCAAAAATATAAAAGAAATATTAATTGAACTTCCACCTTTTTAAATTACTCAATAAAAACTGCCGACTTTTAAAATTATAAAAATACCAATCTTTTGAAAAAAGTATGCGGATACATCATTATTTATTGGATATGTTCTAGAGTTTATTATATCTGACATCTCACAATGTCGTGCAAAAAAAATTGCAAAGTAAATCCTAATTGTCTACGAAGAATATTATAAATCATTATTACACTAAATAATGCATTTGTAAAAATTACATTTTACATAGAAGAATATTATTGTCATTTTAAATAATTATATTAATATGAATATAGCAATTTTTAATTTTGCGATTGAGAAATAATATTTGATCAGTTTGGCATATCTTATATATGTTTTATTATCGCAACTGTGTGGTGTGGATATATATATACACCACTGCACTTTTGCAATTTTGTTACTTGGCAGAAGTCACCTTTCTTAAAGATTTTTGTACTATGATAAGAGATTTACGAGCAAATATATCAGAAAAAAGATATCTTTTGTATTATGTAATATACAATATATAAGTATAAAGAATATTTCTATATATAATATAATTATGGAACGTGTAATATAATGTGATTTAGAAATATTAATTATGCGTATTAAAACCTAGAATGCATAATATTTAAAAAATTTAAGTTACTGTTTCTATATAGAATAAAAATTTCCATTTGTCTTTAAAGACGCTAACTTAAAGTATCACCGCGATTTCGCAATGGCCAAATATTTCAAGCCAATTTTATTATCTACTTCATCTATTACTATCACATAAAAGAAAATTTACGTGCTAAGATAATTTTTATTGTACACAAAAGGTAGTGAGGTTGAAAGAGCTAATGCAATAAAGTAAGGCTAGAATAGCTTATCGCTTTCTTGCAAAAAAATACAAGCGAGGTACAAAGTACCATGTTCTAATAAAAAGGAACACGAGAGAGTATTCATGAGTATTCATGAAATAGACACACATTAGTTCGATATGCGACTTAGATCTGTATTCACAGCCTGTCTTATAATCAAAATCGTCTTAAATATGGTCCATCCAGTCAATGAAATATAATATCTAATATAATATCCATGTAGTATCTTAAGATCGTACTTAAAAAAGATGATCTTGAATATAAGAATAAACTATAAATATGAATCTTAGAAAAATAATCAAGTTATCTGTCAAATATCCATTCAATTCTCTATACAGAAAGCGTAAAATGGGTACAAACTGCAGAGATGTTATCAGTATGCATCCGAGTATCGATTTTTTAAGGACTCGTTACTTCTACCGTATCTTGTCATGCTGGTATGAAATGTATGGAGAAACAACTTCAATGGTCGAAATTTATAAAGGAAAACATTTATGCAGATAAATCGTTGTAACATTATTATTTTTTAAGAGATTCATAGAAATATAGAATTATACAAATAAAAAGATATGCATGTCTATAAAATAATATATGTTAGAAAATATAAATCTCTCAATAAAAATATTTTTTAGCAATAAAAAATACGCATATATATATATATATATATATATATTACACATATATATATACGTACACATACCTGTTATTAATTATATTTTTTATTACTAACTTAATACTAATATAATTTATATATTTGATAATTTATTACGCATTGTAAATAGCGTAAACTTTTTCGATTAACGGTTTATATAATAACGGTGGGAAAAGATCTAGTAACATTTAAGAATAACAGTATGCAAGACTGCAACCACCTGCGGTCGTTCATGTTACGACAGAAGATGAAAGAGGGATGGCAAATGAAGGGGAAAAAGAGAATGAAGAGAATGAAAGGAGCGAAAAGATACATTAATAGGCGAAGTAAAAAAAAAAGAATGAACGAGAAAAACGGAAATGGATAGATAAGAAGATGGCGAAAGGACGGAGAGAGAACGTAAAGAGGGTAGTAACACGAAGGTAAAAGGCGGCGTGACGATATAATATCGATTCGGTAACAAATCCATATGATGCTAGTGCCTGCTATCTGTCCTACAACGCGGAGTCAACGTGCGTCGCGAAAAGACGTCGGAAAATAACAGACGCCCTGACGCTTTATATATAGAGACTGAGCCACGAACAGACGGCCCGTAGCGCTTAAATATAGACAAAATGCAACGCGGAGTGTCTTCCATGTACAAGTGAGAAAGATAGAAAAAGCAGAGAGGAACTCATATATGTATATTCGCACGATGTTAGAGCTAGACAGAAGACGCGCACACGGAAGAGAAGAGAAAAATGAGAAGAAATAAAGATAAGAGAATGGACGAGAGAATGTGAACGATAACGGGTATAGACGGAGAAGGGAAGAAAAAGGCGGAAAAAGACTTCGCGTATGCAGGAAACCATTATGGCCGATCACACAATATCATCTGCTACGGATTTAATTCACGAAATACGATGATCACAACAGTCACAAGAGCGCTTTTATGCACGATTCGTGCTTGCGCGTGCGAAAAATATGCGAACACGCCATCATCCAGTGAAAAAAAAAAAAAAAAATGCTTCGATCGCAAACGCCAGCATGGACGAATCGCAAAGCTCTATCTTCTTCATTGCCGTGAAGAGATAGCTCTTTATTGGTGAGATAGGAAAGAAATTAATGAGGTGATAGAAATATGTTAATAGTAAAGACGGAGGAATATGAATGCAGGCATGCGTAAGCGAGCAAGCGGCGCCGTAAAACGCCGAGTAAGAGTAATTCACTTATTTTCTCCCACACGCGAATAAGTGCAAAAATTTCGATACTCACTTGCCCAATTCCTCCTTCAAATCGTAGTTGTCACTGAATCGCGTGCAAGCCGTTGGCACGGCCATACCGAGGCTATTCACGATTATTTAATCGTATCACGGGACTCAAAAACTTAAACGCAAGAGAGTCACTGCCGGCTGCCACTATACTGCACACACGCGCTAGGGGAAACTTCGCAGGTCAAATTCGATCAATAGAGGAACCGCCGCGGCGCTGCTTGAACACCGGGACGGCGGCGGCAGCGATGGTGACAGCGGCGGCAGCGGCGGCGGCGGTAGCGGTAGTGGCGGCGGCGGTGGCATAATATTTTGAAAAATATGAACATTTCGATATCCGTAAATAACAAAAAGCATTTTATCACTTTTTACCTAAGATTGATGACTGAAAATATAAAAACTGCATTCAAAGACATAAATCTTATAATATATATGGATATAAATTGGGTTGACCAAAAAGTAATGTCGGAATTTTCAGTAAGAAACAATAGTTATTTTTTCTAAATATGAGAAACATTATTAAACAATGTATTGATCATTTTGATCCAAAACCTTTTGCAATCTCGCGGGCAGTTTCATAATTCCATCCTCCCAGAACTTCTCATTTTTTCATATCCGAGAAATACAATTTTTGCTAGCCCCATAAATAACATTTTTATCTGTATCTGTTATCCAATAGGAATAATATTGCATATCTAAGTTGTGCTAGGCTAGCACAAGTCGATTTCCATAGCACAGCGATATTAAGAACGCTTTACTCCTGAGCGCAGTCCTTCGAATTCTATAATTCGGATTTGTAATATAGATAGATATTTATTTTTTGCCTTTCAGATTTAAAAGAGGGTTTTACAAAAGGGTGTAATCTAGTTATAATGTTGCAACATTGCTGCAATGTTGCTGCAATGTTCTGTACTGTATAGATTTAGCGTGAGATATTATCATGTCTTTTAATATAGAGAAAGTAGAAGCAATAGAGGCAAAAACTTCGAAAATTATCACAATAAATAAAAATTTTGTTAAATAATTTTACTTTTGTGATAATTTTTATATAATATTTCAAACTTCTTTTATAATTGTTATTCTAAATATCTGCATAAGTATATATTTTTACGAATATGAGTAAAATATTATAATTTCAGAAAATTAAAATAATAATAAGTAATAAAATATAAATTATTCGTAACATTTTATTTTTACGTTGTGTTTCTGGATAATATTCTATGAATAATGATTTTTTTCTATGATTCTATTAATATTATAACGATATAAAAGTTCCGCTTAAAATTTTTATTAATATCTTATCTACATTATCTTTAAAAGAATTGCAAAATTTTAAAATTACAGAATTTATGGTTAACTGTTACAAGGAAATGCTGAAAAGAAAAAATTTATTGCACATAAATTAAATGTTAATCATATATAAATTTTAATTAACTTTAGCATTGTATGTGATACATTTCTAAAAATATATATCCTAGTAAATTATAATCTTTAAGATAACATATGCATCATTTTGACTTTATCGATATTTTAACAATAGAATATCCTGAAGGCCTAAATCAATAAAAAAAGTGTTTCAAATTTATTTTTTAACTTTTGTTATACATAATCATTTTTTTATAGATATCAAGGAATATATATAAATTTTTGTAAATTTTTGCAAACGCTTTGAGACAGCTAAAACTGCGACAAGACATTATGATCCATATGTGGCCACAGAAACAAAGCAAAAAAAATCTACAAGGATTAACTTAATTATTTGCATATATTGCAATGATTATCGTCCAAAGATTAATAAACAAGGTAACATTTTCCACAATGCATCATGCTTGTCTTGAATGTATAATTTCTTGTATAAAATTGAAAATCACATCATACAAAAATGTTATTATTTCGCCGAATTCGTGTTTTTCACCATGCATATATTAAGATATATATACACAATGAAACCTCGAAATAGCGTATAACCCCCTACGTGCTACGACACTCCGAATGCATGAGTAGGGATAACAATCCAACCGCGTAGCAACACATAGATCTGTGGACGCAATGTCCTCTCTCGGCGGTGTACTTGAAAGGACTTGTATTCGTGCAAGCTCGCACGTTCGCATGGCCCTGAATTTGACGGAAGTGGGGGTAACCTCGTTATAGCGGACTAGAGGCCCGTACAGTACGCTATTTCGAGATTCCATTGTATATACATATATATATATACGTACACATGCGGGCTATTCTCATATCGCATGTATTATCCATCATGAAATTTATATATATATATATATGAAAATTTCTATCGTATTTTAATTAAATTGATCACAAAGAAACGTTCCTAGAAGAAGACAATCCATATATATAATCAAATA